TTAGATCATAATCCGCAATGTAAATGTTTTCTTAAAGTATCTACTCTATTGTACATTTTATTAATCATTACTATAAATCGTCATTAATAAACATTACCTATGACAATAATTTACAACTTGTAGTTGCTTGAATAAGCCACAAACATCTTTTTATCGGCTATATTCATAAATTAATTGAAATATTACATTCATTTTACCAACAAATCAAATCTAATTATGGAAATTTTATGTTAATTGAATGGGGAAGTGAAATTCTCAAGCAGCTAGAACTACAATAATTTTAGAAAAATATGAATGTAAGCAAAACAAAAAAAGTAATAATAATGCAATAAAAATACGGAGGTAGTGGGATTATTACACTTGTGTCTACTTGAAAAAAAAAAGAACATAAAAAAGTATTAGTCGGTTTTGCCGACATATGTATACCTTCAGCCAATGTTCGATTATTTAAATATATGTTGACTTTTGCTATGCTTTTTCAATTTGTTGACCCTCTATAAAGTAGGTTCCGAAAAAATGGGCCAATATTGTCTATTTCGTATTGGATCTATATAAATATGATATAAATATTGCGACGTGCCAGGTTTGGACTATATTGGTTACTTCCTTTACTTTATATGAGATATCAATTTTAGGAAATTTTAAAGATTAAAAAAACTGCAACCAACTTCAGACTGCTGTTATTTTCCAGAAAAAAAATATTCGTGATTTAATTCAAGCGTGATAGTGTGATTTTTTTATATTTGGCTGGAAAACCATAAGTGGCTATCATTAGAGCATTCCAGCAGTTTAATGTGATAAATCGTTTGTGTCTCTTACCATCGCTCGTTACCGCGATACTGGTAGCGTAGCCCGACGTCAAGGAAGTGGACGGAAGAAACAGCAATATCAGCAGAAATGGTTCGAGAAGTAAAGAAGCGACTTGATCGAAACCCGCTTCGCAGTGACCGAAAAATGGCTCGTGAGCTGAACACATTGCAATATTCCATTCGGGGAATATTGGAAAATGAGCTCGGGGAAAGCCATTGAAATTGTAAAAAATGCAAGAACTTACACCGCAACGGAAAGAAAATAGACTCAAAAGACCATTCGTCAAATATTGAAAAATGGCAAAGCCATTGAAATTCCAAAAAGTGCAAGAACTTACACGGCATCAGAAAGAAAATAGACTTAAAGGAGCTAAAGTGTTGCTTCGCTTAGCCGAAAGTGGTGAACTGCCGAATTTGGTTTTCTTCGATGAGAAAACATTCGTTGTCTAGCAGTTTGTAAAAAAACAAAATGAACGTGTTTATTTGCCAAAGAGTTCAGCTGAAAATTTGCACCTTCGGTTGGCCACCAGAACTAAAGCGCCGGCCATGGTAATGTTGTCAGCCGCCATAACAGCCGATGGTCGCTCTCCGCTCGTATTAATCGACGGTGACATTAGAATAAATGCCGAATATTGTGGCGAAAATATTCTGGAGGGTGTATTAAAGCATTGGGTGCACGCAAACATTTTGGCCGCAGACCTTGGACATTCCAACAGGACTCAGCACCATTACACTTACCACCCAAGAGTTGTTACAAAATGAGGTTCCTCGCTTCATTTCCAGCGCACAATGGCGACCAAAATCTCCGTATACCAATCCGTTGGACTATTGTGTCTGGAGTATTTTGGAAAGCAAGGTTGGCATTAAACAATACCAAAGTGTGGATCACCTCAAGCAAGCGCTTCATTGGCAGTTTGAAGGTCATAATTCGTGCCAAAGGTGACCAATTCGAACAAATCTAAACTAGTTCTAAAATTTAATGTTATTTCGACATTTTTTGCTTTCATTCAATAAAATTAAAAAAAAAATGTAAAAATTGTGGCGTTTGACTTTGTTGCAGTTTATCTTACCCTGTATATTTTCATGGAATGCTTATTTCGCTTTCTTTGAGCGTTTTCTTTTTCAAAATTTGAACCCTATTTAGGAGAGTTTCCAGAGGAAATGGTCCGATCCGTCCTATCTTTATAACAGATCTTGTGGCGATGGAAATATTGAGATGTACCAAGTCTGAATGGAATCGGATGTTAATTTCGCGTTTTATAAACTTCAAGGATATTCAAATTTTGGAGCAAAATCAGATTATACTTCCTCTTTCTGTGCAAGAAAAATATTTTTTGAAAATTTCGACCTTTTGTGGGGTTGGTACAAGAAGGAGTGGACCAATATTACCCATCCTCAAACTCCATCTAAGTTTGACAATAATATTACGATGTACCAAGTTTGGATTAAATCGGATACACCCTTCGAGAGGTATCGTGCGTAAAAGCCAGACAGACGGACGGACGAACATCGCAAGATCGACTCCAAATGTCCTAAACGGCTGGCTGAGGGTATAAAAAACCAAGAATTTAATTTTTATGAAAACGACTGTAAATAGATATTTCGTTTATTTTGAGATTTATAGTGAATTTTTGTGTAGAATAATTCTTCTTTTGACATCCTGCGCCTTAGACGAAATTTTAAGTTCTTTTCTGGTTTCAACTCCAAAAGGATCCGAGAAAAATGTTTGAAAAATGTAGAGACAATTTTTGTTTTTTTTTGGGGAACATTGATGCAAATTGTTTTTTCCTTCTTAACATAAATTTGATGCAGAATTTTAAAAAAATGTTTTGTTGGAGATTTGTGCAAAAATTCACAAAAAATACAACATTAACCCTAAAATGTGTTTTAAGATGTATGAATTCCTGTCATTCAGCTAAGATTTAGATTCTTGACGTCTTCTAGGGCCTAAAACAGAACCATATGACAAATAATTTTGTAAAATATTTGGACTTACTACAATCCCGTTTAAAGGAAGTTTTTACCCTATTTTAAAAAAGGACCAAAAATACATCTTTGTTAACGCACTTGATGGTCAAATTTTCAACCAAAATATTCCTTGTATTTTTATCTGCAAAATTTCCCACTTTAAACCTAAATTGCATGGATTCCGAGGAATCTCAATCTGAATATTTTCAATGTTTTTAAAGAGGGGGGACTTGCTTCCCCTATATATATTCGGCCAAGGTCTGTTTGGACCAAATCCGTTTGAGGACATTTGGAGTCGATCTTGTGATAGATTTGAAGTTTGTTGTATTCTTTTACTTATAGTACAATTTTATGACGAGCAATTTTGATCCGATCTTAATGTAGTTCTTAAGCGTTTTTATGAAAAAAATGGACACAAAAGATACCTTTAATGACTCGATTCAGGATCCATTTGTTAAAAAAAAAACATTTCCCGAATTTTCGGTATTTTTGGCAAAGACGATATCTACCTAAAATGCACTGATTCCAAGGAATGTAAACACTTTAATATTAACAAGTAAAAAAACATTAAGTTCGGCCGGGCCAAACTTTTAATACCCTCCACCCTAGGGTAAAAGAACATTAGAAGAAATGTGGCAAAAAACATTAAAATGCCGAATATCGGGAGGTACCGTTATATAGGGGCTACACCAACACGTGCACCTATAATTACAATGTTTCGCCACACGAACTAGGACCCATTATGACCCACAAATACCAACTTTTACACAAATCAGTGAAAAAATGTGGCATACATCATCAAAATACCGAATATCGGGAGGTACCGTTATATGGGGACTATACCAGAACGTGGACCTATACATGTAATGTTTTGCCACACGCTCAGGGACCCGTTGTGACCTACAAATACCAATTTTCAAACAAATCCGTGAAAAAATGTGGCATAAATCATCAAAATACCGAATATCGGGAGGTACCGTTATATAGGGACTATACCAGAACGTGGACCGATATATCTCATTTTCAATACCAACCATCCTAGGGACAATACAAACACTTGTGCCAAATTTCAAAGGTCTACGTCAAATAATGTGGGCTCTATCGTGATTTCAACAGACAGACAGACGGACAGACAGACAGACGGACAGACAGACAGACAGACGGACATCGCTAAATCGTCTTAGAATTTTATGCTGATTATGAATATATATACTTTATGGGGTCTACGACGAATATTTAGAGGTGTTACAAACGGAATGACAAAGTTAATATACCCTCCTACCCATGGTGGAGGGTATAAAAACTGTAGAAATGGGCGGAATTGCTCATTTTTTTATTCTCCCGATGTAAACTTTCAAAACGCCTATGCACGTGCCGAAATGCACTGATTCCAAAGAATCTTGACTTTAATATTTTCAAAAATGTAGAAATAGGCGGAACTGCTCATTTATGTTTACCTCCCGATGTAAACTTTCAAACGCCGATCCAATAATCTACTCCTTGTGAATTTTTGTGTCCCACGCTAACCCCTTACAGTCTCTGATATTTACGTTTAAGATTTGTATTAAAAAAAAACCAACTGAGAACAATCTGATAATTTTTCTCATTCAACTCACCGTAGAGTTTCTTTTACCGGTGTAAAAACCCAAACTTTTAATGTTTTTTCCAATTGCTATTTATTGCAACAACAACAAAAATTTCCATAATCAATAAAAACCCGGTACTACAATAATAGAGTATTTCGAAAAAAAACTTTGCGGAATGTCAAGGGGAAGAACTCTATTGAGTATTTTTGCAAAAAAAAAAAAAAAATAAATAAAAAAACTACAACACACAGCACAACAGAAAACAATTATTGTCATAGTCATTGAATGGCGATTATAGCCAATGGCGTTAACGTTGGCCTAATCACATAGAGTTTTGAGTTAATGACATAAATAAACATTTTTAATAACAAATCATTGTACATGGATGGGTATTCAATTTTTCTCCGTTTGTAATTGTTTTTTTTTTTTTTTTTTGTATTTGAAGGCATCGTTCGTTTTTATTCAACTATTCAGAGATTTGAAACGGATCGGGATAGAATGTTTATTACTAATTTGCATACAAGTGTAAAATAGATAAATAATTTGTTTTGGAGACTTTCTCAGTTCTCTGTTTTTGTTCTTTTCAAACTCTACACTTTAAATTTCCATTACACTTTCCCCACTAAATTTCACTTACTTCATATTTACAAGTTTGTTTTGTTGCTTCTCCTAATATATTTACACAAATGTATTTACACGACCGCAAATCCAAAATTTCAATTAAACGCAACACACCACAAACGCACACACTTCGTTTTGGCCAAGTGGCAGAAAGAAAAAAATAATCGATCGATTTTTCTCCGTCGAAGTGTCCGAACACTCAACCCGTCACTCGTTGAACTCGTTGGCGGACTGACTGAATGTGGTGCATTTACAAACGTTCGAATGATCGGTTGGTTTAGCCGTTATGTTCACTCCACTACTCTCAAGTTCAAACTCAATTCGTTGGACGACTCAACAACAACCTTTTATTGTTTTCCATATCGTATTCTGTGTTCTTTTTTCGTCTTGTTTTGTTTCATTTGATTACGTTGCTGTTGTAGTTGTGACTATGGATTTATTTTTGTTTACGTTATTAAATTTACGATATTACGGTGCTCGCACACAGTGTTGCCGATTTGGGCGTTTCCGTCCAAATTTGGGCGGAAAAAAGATAAATTTTGTGGTTTGGGCGGATTTTGGTCGGAATTTTTCCATATTGGGTACAAATTTATTTTTCATTGTTTATTTTTACGTAATTTAATTTTTTTATTACTAACTGAATTTTATATTTTTTTTTATTGAGATGAATCGTTATTTATTTTATGGATTTTTGTTAAGTTTTTTAATAATATATATGTGATACCCTACAACACTACAATATGTTAGAAGTCCCCTCATGTCCAAATCCATTTTGGAAAATTTCGCTTTTGAAATTATGTCACGGAGCACTGCCCTTAGCACTTTGACCAGGGACATTTTCTCAATATTTATGCACTCCGTCGTGCAGTTAGTTTTTGTGGTCCATTTTACGGCTAAATGTATTCCAATGGCCATCCAAAATGCCAGAATTCTTCCCTGTGCTTACCTATCTTCTCAGGCGTGTTGATTGGCTTCAATTGTGTGATCAGGAAAATTTTTTCTGTTTTTGATTCATTTAAACCCCTAAATATTTTGCGATCATCTCCAGAAGCAAGAGGCCCCTCTGTTTCTCCAAATTTAGACTCATCTATATGATTTGCTTGTCTACGATATTTGGCTTATACGTCAACGAAATCAGCATAAAAAAGCCAGAAGTTCGCCTATTGTATATCGCCTGTAAGTAATGTTGGTAATTTTTTACACAAAAGTAGTGGTCCATTCTTTCCGCTGTCCTAAGCTCTAACTTCATGCGAGATTTCGTGTCCTTAGGTTTATATTTGGGACCTTTATAACGGCTGCAAAATCAGGAACATTTTGAGTTGCTGGCCAATTTCAACCCCTAAATATATTGCGGACATCTTTGAAAACAATAGGCTAAGCCCTTCTGAGCCTAACCCTACCTTTGTGAAAAATTTCGTGAGGATCGAACGATAATTGCAATCTGTATATAAATAATATCCCTAACCTGTGTTGTAAAGTGAAAAAATATTACAAAACAAATACTTCAATATTATAAGTCAATTTGAAAAAATCGCATGCGATAAAAAAATATGAAAAAATAAAAAAATGTCCCAAAATACTACAAAATCTATATGAATATCATTATTGGTATTAGTATTTATACTTTAATGCCACAAGGGCATTCTAAATTGACAAAATTTGTCAAAATCGCTCCAGCCATTCTGAAGATATAAGCATTCTAGCTGACATCCCCTTTCTTTGTATATATACATTGTATATATTTCTCTATATATATCCGATATTTTTACTATCGGCATCTACGTAACGGTCAGAATTGACCTGTTCGTCTATTTGTGATTTCGCCGGCAGTAAAAATATTCGCGGATTAATGGAAAATTTGACTTTTATTTATCGCAAATGCTATGGTCTACTAAACCACTAAATATTACCCAATGACCATCAAAATTGGAAGGCTTCTGCCCAGTCCAAAATCTAGCCCCATGCTAAATTTCGCTTCGATTGGTCTATAATTGTGACCTGTAGAGCAACTGCAAAATCAGGAAATTTTTCAGTTTTTGGTCCATTTCAACCCCAAAATATTATGCGATCATCTCCAAAAGAAATAGGGTTCTATTCTGACCTTAACCCCAGCTACATTCTAAATTTCGTGAAGATCGGGCCATAATTGCGACCTATAGAGTGATTACAAATTAACATGGACAGACGGACGGACGGACATATATAGCAAGATCCATATATACTTTCCTATGTGGGAAACCAATATTTCGTGGTGTTACATAATTTTTTGCTCAATCAAAGTTATAATACCCCCAACACATAGTGTTGTAGGGTATAAAAACCTGAATAATAATGACTTTAATGTATTTAATACATTGAATTCTTGTATTATGTTACTTTTTCAAATATAAATAAATAAATAAATATATATATATATATATATATATATATATATATATATATATATATATATATATATATATATATATATATATATATATATATATATATATATATATATATTAGAAGTAAAATAACATAAAATTTTTATTATCTCTAATGTATTTAATACATAGATTTTAATAAAACTTGAGTACCTTTTTTATGTATAGTGTAAAATTTTCAATAAAATTTACTTGAATACAAACTACATATAAATTATTCAACTTTTTACAGTTTGGGCGGATATGGTCGATTTTGGGCGGTTTTTAGAAAAAAATTGGGCTGAAATAAAAATTTCAAACGGCAACACTGCTCGCACAACCAACAGAGAGTTTACTTTGTAAAACAACAACAAGAAATGTAATACTCTCCGTTTGAGGGGAGTAATTGTTGAGAGAGAAACTATAGAGAACTAAAGTTTTTCACTTCTGGCATTGCGCCCTTTTGAGAAATGCAACATTGCGCTGCAACAGTCTCACAACACACTCGGAAATGCAAAATCTGAGAATACAGAATTTGTCATATGTTCGGAATGTAAACAATAAGAAATTAGATGTTGCAAATGAAAAAAATCGTTATTTAATGATTATTTAAGTTCTTTATAAAAAAAATTTAAAAGTATCAGTCGGTTTTGCCGACAGATGTACACCCTCAGCCAATGTTCGATTATTTAAATATATGTTGACTTGTTTTATGATTATTCAAACTGTTGACCCTCTATGGAGGAGGTTCCAAAGGAATGGGACATATCAGACCTAAATTAATATGACGTATCAGACCTAAATTACTACGACGTGCCAGGTTTGGGAGATATTGATTACTTCCTTCACTTTTTATGAGATATGTGATAATATTTAGAAAATGTTGAAATGCGAGTGAGCTGCCAGAGATAATCGACCGAAGCCTCCCATTTTCACACTTCATCGAATGCAGATAACAATATAGGTGTGAGCAAAATTGCAAGAAAATCGAATATTTATATCCAATTTTATGCGAAATCCTAAACTCCATATCAGGTTTCTGGTTGAGAGAAATAAAATAATAGCTGACTTGTTTAGGAAGTTATGATAGAAATGTATTGAAAATTGTGACCCTTTGTGGGTGAGGTACCAGAAGAGGTTTGCAGATATATATTATCTTCACGAAATATACAGGGTGAGATAAAAAAGTGCGGTTGTAAGATTTAGATGACTTTTCCAAAAGAATTTTAGTTTTATTTAATTATTTGGTTCCTCTTCTATTGAGCTTACGATCTCGTCACTTGTGTAAAAATGTTTTTTGTCATAGAGGTTATTTTTAAAATAACTTCTGGCGAGAATATCCCAGACAAAAAACAAGGGAACTGATGAGGATTGGATTTTTACGAAACCTAGGTATTGCCTGCCTTACCCCCTGGTAAACATTATCATCGTTCTCCGCTAATAAACAAACGTTGTTTTTATAAAAACAACAATAAAGGGATAAAGCCTGACCATTTTGCAACAACAAAATACTACGGTATACCGAACAAACAAGCCACGCTGTTCTAAACTGCAACAAAATCAAAAGCCATATTTTTTACATTTTTTTTAAATTTTATTGAATGAAAGTAAAAAAATTTCGGAAATAGCGGCCAATGAAACAGTCACACGCTGTTAGAATGTTGCTCTGCGTTATTTTGGCCTATTCCCCGCGAAACACTTGCTTGAGTTGATCGAAAATTTGGTATTTTTTAGTGCCAACCTTGTTTTATAAAATACTCCAGAGACGGATTGGTATCCGGAGATTTTGGTGGCCATTTTGCGCTGGAAATGAAGCGAGAGATCTCATTTTGTAACCATTCTTGGGTGGCGCGTGCTGAGTGCAATGGTGCCTGGAGTTCTGTTGGAATGTCCAAGGTCTGCAGCCAAAATGTTTGCGTGCCCATGGCTTTAATACACCCTCCAGAATATTTTCGCGATAATATTCGGCATTTATTCTGATGCCACGGTCGATTAATACGAGCGGCCATCGGCTGTTATGGCGGCCCACACCATCACCATGGCCGACGCTTGAGTTCTGGTGGCCAACCGAAGGTGCACATTTTCAGCTGACCTCTTTGGGAAGTAAACACGATCATTTTGTTTTGTTTACAAACTGCTGGACAACGAATGTTTTCTCATCGGAGAAAAGCAAATTCGGCATTTCGCCACTTTCGGCCAAGCGAAGCAACTCTTTAGCTCTTTTGAATGCTTTCAATGGCTTTACCCCGAGCTCATTTTTCAATATTTGCCAAATGGAATATAGCGATATATGTAGCTCACGAGCCATTTTTTGGCCACTGCGACGCGGGTTTCGATCAAGTCGCTTCTTTACTTTTCGAACCATTTCTGCTGATGTTGCTGTTTTCTTCCGTCCACTTCATTGACGTCGGGATAACCGAATGCTTATTTTGGATTTTAATATCGTTTTGGTTATTCAAAATGTTGACCCTTTATCAAGGAGGTACCAGAAGAAATAGTCCAATCGATACCATCTTTATAGAAGATATTGTGTTTATGGAAATATTGAGATGTGTCAAGTATGAATGGAATTCCTCGTCTTATGAGCTTCAAGGATATTCAAAATGTTGACGCTTTGTGGGGGGAGGTACCCGAAGGAGTGGACCGATATGTTCCATCTTCATAGCATATCTTCTGTTAGTAGAAATAATGGGATGTGTGAAATTTTCAGAGAACCGGGTGCTTATTTAGGATTTTATGATCGTTCTGGTTATTCAACATTTTGATCCTTAGTGGGCGAGGACCAGAAGAAACGGTCCCATCTCTATCATCTTTATAAAATATCTTGTGTTCATGGAAATATTGAGATGTGCCAAATCTAAATGGAATCGAATGCTAATATCGAGTTTTATGAGCTTCATGGATATTCAAAATGTTGACCCTTTGTGGGGGAGGTGTGAGAAGGAGTAGACCGATATTGTCCATTTCCGAAGTCGATATAAGTTTGATAATAATATTACGATGTACCAAGTTTGGACCAATTCAGAGTGATCATGTGCCGCAGCCAGACAGACGGACAGACATCACTGGATCGACTTCAAATGTCCTGAAACGGATTTTGTCCAGAGAGAACTAGAGTCTAAATCCGTTATTTCGATGTGGCACGTTTTGGCCGTATCAAATGATATATACTCTCTCTAACCATATGGCTAAGGGTATAAAAAGTCTAATACGAACTCATGGTAAAATTAAGAAGGTAGAGTGATTTCAAATAAGCATTCCCATCTCGGAATTTTCTGTATCTTACTGTATTTCGCTGCAAGGTTCCCATCTCCGATTTGTGTATGTACGAGGAATTAAAAAATATACACTTTGACAATGAGATGTTGTCAAATGAATAATTTTGAAAAAATTGTAAACATATAATTGCATGGCTTTACCTTCTTGATTCTACCATGTACACACTGTTGGAACGAATGTAAAAATTTAAGGTTGATTTTTCTCTGATGAAAAAGTATTTAAAAGGTCAAAATGATTTTTTAAAAATTGTATTTCTTTATGTTTTTATTAAATTTAGAAATATTGACAATATCGAACCACAACTTCAAGCATCGCAGATCATAATATTTGTATGGAACTTAGTTCCGTTGCAAACAATAATCTCCTCTACCATAGAGTAAAATTTATTAGTACTTTATCTTCTGTATACAATAACATTTTTTTGTTTTTGAACGAAAAAAACTATAGAACGCTAATCGAAATGAACCACTACCAAATCGAAATTTGCTTTATATTCAGATTTTGATAACTAATTATTTTATGATGTAGATTTACGTTGCGATTAGCATTATTACCTAAGGTACGAAAATTATCTCATGAATAATTAGTCCTTTATGGTAGAGCCTTTAGATAATACCTATAAAGTAATGAGGTTTTTTAGAAATTTTTGCACATTATCAGAATTTTGGTAAAATATGAGTTTTCGTTTATGTCTTTATAACTTTATAGTATTTTTGTTGCCATTTCGTTTGTGACGCTTTATTATGAGGCCACGTATATATAATATATGTATAAAAAACGAAATCTACATTCTATTATGAAATCAAAACGCTTGGGTTATAACTCCAATGCACACCGAGTCAAAATAAATACCTAAAGTGAAATGTTGAAAAGCGGAGAATGAAGCGATGTTGAAAAAAGTCAACTAGCTCTATGTTCCCATGTGTGACATCACAAAATCTAATTTATTTATATTTAGTGGTTGCATCTCATGGCTTGTGTGTCTAAGATGTTATGGAAAATTTTTTCACTCTTCCCTAACCATACGTAAAATTTGAAAACAAGGTACTTGACATCTTTAATAAGCACTAGTCGCGTCTGTCGTAAAAACACTGCCAGATGATCCTCTGAGGAGGTACTAAACATACGAAAAGACCACTCATGAGGCATAAGTAGTGTAGGACAATTTGTGTTTGTTACTTAAGAAATAACAACAAATGTTTATATTTTTTAGTGTAACCAGACGATTTAGATGTGTAAAATTTTCCACTCTGTGGAGGGTGTGAAAAAAATAATCCCGTACGGATCCAAGACATTTTTTTTTTGTTCTCAAATATGAAGTTTATTTTGGTGTTAATCATTAAAATAGGAAATCTGAAAATATACCCTCAGCCAATGTTCGATTATTTAAATATATTTTGACTTCTGTTATGATTATTCAAATTTCTGACCCTCTATGGGGTAGGTTCAGAAGGAATGTGCCAATATTGTCCATTTCGTATCAGACCTAAATAAATATGATATAAATATTGCGACTTGCCAGGTTTGGACTATACTGGTTACTTCCTTCACTTTATAACAGATATTGAAAATTGTGACCCTTTGTGGGTGAGGTACCGGAAGGTGTTCGCAGATATATATCATCTTCACAACAGATCTTGTGTAAGCAAAAATGTATGTATCTGTGAAATTTGAAGAGAGTTTGATGCTTATTTCGCTTTTTTGAGCATTTTGTTTATCCAAATCTTGAATCATATGTGGGGAGGTACCAGAATAAATGGTCCGATCTTCCATCTTTATAACAGATCTTGTGTTGGCAAAAACATTGACATGTGCATCAAATGTGTGACATGGAATCAAGTATTAATTTCGCGTTTTATGAGCTTCATGGATATTCAAAATTTTGACCCTTGGTGGAGGAGGTACCAGAAAGAGTGGGCCGATATATTCCATCTTCACAGCAGATCTTGTGTTAGTAGAAATAAGGGGATGTGTGAAATATGAAGAAAACCGGATGCTTATTTCTGATTTTAAACCCTTTTTGGTTTTTCCTTAAAAAATATTTTTTTTTAAATTCTCGAAAAAAGTACCTACTGTCATTAAAAATGTTCTTCAAAGAGATCAAAAAATTGCATCCGTTAGTCCTTAAAAAATATTTTAAAAATCCGTGACTATATTTTGTCAAAAAAATAATTAAAAAATATCCAGGAATTTGGCTGCGAAAGTCCTTGCAAAATATATCAACGATATTTCATTAAAACCCGAGGATATACCTCTCAAAATAATAATATTTTAAAAATCACTCATTCCTTATTATTTTATTTTTTTCAAATCCACGAAAATTCTTTCAAAAATATTTTAAAAAGATCCTCGAATGTGCCTCATTTAGTCCTTAAAAATGTTTTGTTAAAACCCACAAATATATATCAGATAGTCTGGAAAAACATTCTTTAATAATCAAGAATGTACTTCCGAAAATCCATAAAAAAATTATAAGATAATCGTCGTAGTCCTTAGTCCTTAAGAAATATTCTTTAAAAAGTCCAGGAATGTACCATCGGTAGCTCACTTAATACCTAGGATATAAGCCCAAAAAAAAATCTTTAACAAATCCTCGAGGATTCGTTCCTTAGTGCTTGAAAAAGATTATTTTAAAAATATACGAATATTCCTCCGAAAGTCCTTAAAAATATTTAAAAAAGATCCATCAAAATGAAATTTTCTGAAAAATATTCCTCGAATATAGCTCCGATAGCCCTCGAAAAAAGAGTCTTTAAAACCTATCAATGAAGAAGTCGTTGAAAAAAAAGGTTCTTTATAAAATCTACGCTTCTGTAGGTCCTTGAAAAAAATATTCTTTATAAAATCCACATTTTTGTATGTCTTTGAAAAAAATATTGTTTAAAAAATCCACGTTTCTGTTGGTCATTCAAAAATTAATCTGTAAAATATCCAGGTCTGTTTGTCCTTGGAAAAATATTCTTTAAAAAATCCAAATTTCTGTATGTCTTTGAAAAAAATATTGTTTAAAAAATCCACGTTTCTGTTGGTCCTTCAAAAATTAATCTGTAAAATATTCAGGTCTGTTGGACCTTGGAAAAATATTCTTTTGGTCCTTGGAATAAAATTCTTTAAAAAATCCACGTATCTGTAGGTCCTTGGAAAAAACATTCTTTAAAAATTCACGTCTTTTGGTCTTTAGAAAATATTTTTTAAAAAATCCACCTTTTTTAGGTTCTTAAAAAATATTCATTAAAAATTCACGTCTTTTGGTCTTTAGAAAATATTTTTTAAAAAATCCACCTTTTTTTGGGTTCTTAAAAAATATTCATTAAAAATTCACGTCTTTTGGTCCACCTTTTTGTAGGTCCTTAAAAAATATTCTTTAAAAAAATTCACGTCGGGCAGTCCTTGGAAAAAATATTCTTTAAAAAAATCACGTCGGGTGGTCCTTGGAAAAAATATTCTTTAAAAAAATTCACGTCGGGTGGTCCTTGGAAAAAATATTCTTTAAAAAAGTTCACGTCTGGTGGTCCTTGGAAAAAATATTCTTTAAAAAAATTCACGTCGGGTGGTCCTTGGAAAAAATATTCATTTAAAAAGTCCACGTCTGGTGGTCCTTGAAAAAATATTCTTTAAAAAGTCCACTTCTGGTGGTTCTTAAAAAATATTCTTTAAAAAGTCCACTTCTGGTGGTCCTTAAAAAAATATTCTTTAAAAAGTCCACGTCTGGTGATGCTTGAGAACATATTCTTTAAAAATCCACGTATTGTTGATCCTTGACAAAATATATATTTTTAAATCCACGTTCTGCGGCTCTGTTTGGAAATTTGTCTTTTTAAAATTCATTGCAAGCAAGTTAAGTGCCTTTCAATGAAGTGGTTAAAATTTTGCGGTCGATGCAATTTGATCTCTTTTTTATTTGTTTTGTTAGATCGTATCGACAATTATAATGTTTATTGTATCTATTTCGGTCTTAGCCATAAAGATAGGAAATCATTATTTTAGCATTAATGGACAAATTCTTCAAAAAAGAGGTACAGAATTCAATAGATGTTTGAAATGCTGATTAGAAATAATTGTGGTAGTTATGGTCATAAATATTTCTGTCAAGTAGAGCACTTTTATTGATATTCAAAAATGTTGAGAGACCGACCACACCCTCGTAGAAAAATATTGAATTTGAAGTTCGTTAACCCAAAAAGATTAATAATTTCAAATATAAATTGCAAATGGATTATCAATGGGAATTGAATTGAAAAGTTGATCATTTTTGCGAAACTGACATGCGAATGATCCATATCCTGATGAAAAATCCAAACATAAGGCCAACGACTCAAACCATAACAATATTTCAATTCAACCAACAATATAGTTCACCTGTTGATCTAATTTTACTTCTCCGAAATAAAAAGGGAGATTGGATATTTTCGAAACGAATTATGACGTTTTGCATTTGCATTTTGTAATTCCATAAATAAAAACCGGAAAGAGAGAGATCCACTGCTCCACATAGCCATAAAAAAGTGTCATAAAAATCAAAATTATATTTCGAACCGGTAAAAAATGCAAAATATTATTTTTCTTCTTCGATTCAAATAAAAATGATTCAAAGGCTTCCGGAATTTTATTTTAATTGGCCACGATTTTTATTAAAATTTAAATTTGAGCAAACATCGATGTTTAATTGACATTTCCAATTTAATTAGTTTGACATCATCATTTTTTTGGTGCTCCGGATTTGCACACCTGTCCGTTTTTTCAATTATTTGTTGGGATGTACAACAACGGCACTACCAACCCGACGACGATCACAAACCGGATGGGGCACATGCGTCTTGAGACCAATGGCCGTCAAAGCGGAATAGGCCTTGTCGGCGGGCAGATAATTCAAATCATGGCCCACACGAATCAAATAATCCATGGTGTGGTCGGGAACCTCGGGTTCAACATCCACCAACATGGGGGCCAGCTGATGGTGGACACGTCCGGAGTTGAGAGCAATATCGATGGGTTCATTGAACACAAAGTAACGCAAAATGGTCTAAAAGTGAATAGAAGAGATATTTGTTAGATAAAAGTTATTGAAATTTTATCCGAGTTGCTTACCTGGGCCACAGAAGTGGTAATCTTGGAACCACCAGCACCACCCACCAACAATTTCACATGACCATGTTTATCCAACACAATACTGGGACAGGTAGAGGACATTGGACGTTTACCTGGCTTAATGTAGTTGGCAGGGGAAGCTGGAATGCCATAGACATTGACGACACCAGGAGTGGAGAAATCATCCATTTGATCGTTTAAAATGATACCGGTCTGGCGGGAACGAACCTTGGCACCGAAACTGAAAAAGAGTAGGAAACAATTGATTTTTTTAAAGGACATCTTTTCAAGGATCTACAAAAACTTGGATCTTTTAAAGAATAATTTATTCCAGGCACCAACAGACGAGGATTTTTTAAAAAAATATTTTTTCAATGACCTACCGAATCGTGGATTTTTTAAAGAATATTTTTTCCAAGGACCAACAGACGTGGATTTTTTAGAGACGTGGATTTTCAAGGACCTACAAACGTGGATTTTTTAAAGGCGTGGATTTTCAAGGACCTGCAAACGTGGATTTTTTAAAGGTGTGGATTTTCAAGGACCTATAAACGTGGATTTTTTAAAGGCGTGGATTTTCAAGGACCTACAAACGTGGATTTTTTAAAGGCGTGGATTTTCAAGGACCTACAAACGTGGATTTTTTAAAGGCGTGGATTTTCAAGGACCTACAAACGTGGATTTTTTAAAGGCGTGGATTTTCAAGGACCTACAAACGTGGATTTTTTAAAGGCGTGGATTTTCAAGGACCTACAAACGTGGATTTTTTAAAGGCGTGGATTTTCAAGGACCTACAAACGTGGATTTTAAAGAATATTCTTTCCTTTAAAGGACCTACAGAAACGTTGACTTTTTAAAGAATATTTTTTCAAGGACCTACAGAAACGGGGATTTTTTCAAAGAATATTTTTTCAAGACCTGCAGAAACGTGGATTTTTTAAAGAATATTTTTTAAGGATCTACAGAAACGTGAATTTTTAAAGATTATTTTTCTAAGGACATTTCCTGGATTTTTAAAAAGGATACTTTTCAAGGACTATTCCTGGATTTTTAAAAAGGATACTTTACAAAGAATTTTCCTGGATTTTTAAAAAGGATATTTTTCAAGGAATTTTCCTGGATTTTTAAAAAGGATATTTTTCAAGGAATTTTACTGGACTTTTAAAAAGGATATTTTTCAAGGAATTTTCCTGGACTTTTAAAAAGGATACTTTTCAAGGACTTTTCCTGGACTGAATAGTATCCTTGTCAAAAATCTAGGAAAATTCCTTAAAAAGTATCCTTTCAATGTCTATTCGTGGTTTTTAGGGAATATTTTTCGAGGATATTTTCCAAAAACTATTATTGGGTTTTTCAAAAGGATATTTTTTTCAAGGACTTTCGTTTATTTTGTAAAGTATATATTTCCAGGACTATTTTTGCGTTTTTAAAAAGGATACTTTTCAAGCACTGTTAGTGGATTTTAAAGAAGACATTTTTTCTCGAATTCTTGAATTTTTAAAATGAATGCCTTTCAAGGACTATTATTGCAGCAATATTTTTGGGTTTTTTGAAAATATATTTTCAAGGACTAGCGCTACATTATTCGTTGATTTTTTAAAAAAAAAATATTTTCTTAAGGCAATATTCCTGGATTTGTAAGGAATACTTTTTCAAGAACAATCACTGAAATATTCATGGATTTTCGATCGGCTCTCATATTTTTCCAAAGACTACCTGAGAAAGATTTTTTTTCTGTAAAAATATATTTTACTTACTGGCTATTAATGGTACTGGTCACCGAGATAGCATCCCCGTTGGGCGCCAACACAACCAAATTAGCAGTGCCATGATCTTCCACATTCGTGAAATTGGCACCATAGTAAGCAAAATCGGTAAATGTCTCATCATCCTTGATTAGTTCACGAATTTTGGCAGCAAATTCTGGACTCTTCAATTGATCATAGACCTCCTTGACTTGTGGCTCAAAATGGATATCACCCAAATTGGTACGATGGCCATAGGCATGTTTGAACGTCTCCACAACACGTTGCCAATAGACATCATGATGGCGAGTATACAAAGGTTCCATGACATTCAAAATGAAGGCCAAGACAGCACCACTTGTGGGCAGGGGCGAGGTGTACAGAGAATAGCCACCGGTGAAATGGGCCACAATGGGTTCCTCCCAGCGGACACTAAAATAAAATAATTAGACTTTTTAATTGAAGGAATATGAAAACATATGAACCCATTTACTCATATCTCAACAAGTCTTCCTCGGTGACAATGCCACCCATTTCTTGAATATCCTCAATCAAGCGCTTGCCAATGCGACCACCACGATACATAACCTCAGGACCCTCATTGGCCACAATACGCAGAGTTTCACCCAACTGCGGGCGATACATGGTCTCACCTTCCTTGAACAACTCATTGGTATATTTGTTAATGAAAATCTCAGCCATTGAAGGTTCGTTGCGTATACGATTGGCATTCAAGTTCAAAACATTGGCCAAATAGCGTGACACCTTATGACCCTTGACACACAACTCAATGGTGGGTTCAAACAATGTCTTCCATGGCAGTTTACCATATTTATCGTGTAAACGCCAATAACCATAAATCTCACTTGGAATGGCAGCTGAAATGGCTCCGGTTATCTCCTTGCCAATGAACATGTCTTGATGTGCCATAGCCGGAGCAGTTTCACGAGCAATCAATGTCTCAACACGTCCCGTTTCCTTCGTATAGATGGTGGCCACAAAACCACCACCCACTCCCAAGCTGTGCGGCAGCATTACACCTTCGCACAATAGGGTGGCAATGGCAGCATCAATGGCGGAACCTCCTAACTTCAACATTTTTCTAAAAATATATTTTTTCCAATAACAATTGGTAAGATTAGGAATCGTCCTCAACTCACCCTCCAATCTCAGCACATCCTTCGCCGTTTGAAGCCACAGCGCCTACACCAGCCTCATTATCACCATCTCTATCCTGAAGTCCAAATATAAGGCCAAGGGTCACGCCTACGATAATTAAAGCCAGTACAACCCACCATCCGGCATATTTCTTACAACAGTTACTAAGAAACAAAAATAGGGAGAGAGGAAAAGAGGAAGAGAAAGAGCGTAAGAGATTAAGAAATGTTCATAGAAAAGAGTTATTCATGAGAGAGGAACAAATAACCTCTGCAATTGTTTTTCTATGAAAAAATTCGTTTAAAAAATCGCAGTCTTCTGTTATACAGGGTGAGATGAAAAAACTGCAACCAATTTCAGGCTGCTGCAAAATGCAAGAACTTACACCGCAACAGAAAGAAAATAGACTCAAAAGAGCTAAAGAGTTGCTTCGCTCGCCGAAAGTGGTGAACTGCCGAATTTGGTTTTTTCCGATGAGAAAACATTCGTTGTCCAGCAGTTTGTAAACAAACAAAATGATCGTGTTTACTTGCCAAAGAGGTCAGCTGAAAATGTGCACCTTCGGTTGGCCACCAGAACTCAAGCGCCGCCCATTACAGCCGATGGTCGCTTTTCCCTCGTATTAATCGACCGTGGCATCAGAATAAATGCCGAATATTATCGCGAAAATATTCTGGAGGGTGTATTAAAGCCTTGGGTGCACGCAAACATTTTGGCCGCAGACGTTGGACATTCCAACAGGACTCAGCACTCGCCAGCCAAGAATGATTACAAAATTAGGTTCCTCGCTTCATTTCCAGCGCACAATGGCCACCGAAATCTCCGGTACCAACCCGTTGGACTTTTGTGTTTGAAGTATTTTGGAAAGCAAGGTTAGCACTAAAAAATACCAAAGGGTCGATTACCTCAAGCAAGCACTTCGCCGGGAATAGGCCAAAATACCGCAGAGCAACATTCGGGCAGCGGTGAAGGTTTCATTGGCCATTGGAAGGCCATAATTCGTGCCAAAGGTGACCAATTCGATCAAATCTAAACTTATTCTAAAATGTGATGCTATTTTCGACACTTTTGCCTTCATTCAATAAAATTTAAAAAAAATGTAAAAATTATGGCGTTGGAGTTTGTTGCAGTTTTTTTTATCTCGCCCTGAAGAGAGGACGCGTCTTTTTTCATTAAAAAAAATCACAGACCTCAGTTACACTGAAGCCAACTTTTTTCCCATAGAAAAAAAAGTTCGCAGACCTCAGTTACAATGACCTCAGAGAATGAGAAAAAATCGCCGATCTCAGTTACATTGAGGCCAATTTTTTCCGATAGAAAAAATTCACAGACCTCAGTTACATTGAGGCCAATTTTTTCCCATAGAAAAAAATTCGCAGACCTCAGTTACACTGAGGGCAATATTTTTCGATAGAAAAAAATTCACAGACCTCAGTTACACTGAGGGCAATATTTTTCGATAGAAAAAAATTCACAGAGCTCAGTTTTTTTCTATCGAAAAAAATTTGAAACCTCAGTCTGCCAAGTTTTTTTCGAAAGAAAAAAATTGGAGACCTCAGTCTGCCGAGTTTTTTTTGACGGAAAAAAATTTGGACACCTCGATAGAAAAAAATTTGGAAACCTCAGTCTGCCGAGACTTTTTTTCGATAGAAAAAAATTTGGAGACCTCAGTCTGCCGAGACTTTTTTTCGATAGAAAAAAATTTGGAGACCTCAGTCTGCCGAGTTTTTTTCGATAGAAAAAAATTTGGAGACCTCAGTCTGCCGAGTTTTTTTCGATAGAAAAAAATTTGGAGACCTCTGTCTGCCGAGTTTTTTTCGATAGAAAAAAATTTGGAGACCTCAGTTACACTGAAAAAATTGAAGATCTCAGTTACCGGTGAGGTCTTTTTTTCTCATAGAAATAAATTTGGAGATATGACTTGAATTGAGGTCGAATGTTTGTGGGTTGGAGAAAACCCGGCCCTAGGTAAGGAACTGAGGTCTAATTTTTATAGGGAAACAATATCTCATATCTATAAGTTTTTTGTTTTCAGGAGAAATTACTCCTCAAGGAATCCACTGCTCATGAACCAGATGATTTTTTTGCATATAGAAACAATTATATAAAATCACGCAGTATTCTGGATTTTTTTTTTAATATAATCTCAATTTTTAGATACTGATGAAAATATTTGTATTTAAAATCTGCACGTCACTACTGATTTTTAGCATGGATAATTGTCCTTACATAATATTATGTTTTTTTAATAAATCATTTTTTAATAAATATTAATGTTCTTAAAACATTTTAGTTCAGCGAGTTCTTCATTTTATTTTATATTTTCTAAAATATTTGAATCACTGCATTCTTTTAATTTCGTTTTTACATTTTTCACAAAATCACTTATTTTTTCAACTCTTCTCATTGGTTTCAGGACCTTAACACTTACGACATTTCGAAGGGAGTTCGTGAGATATAAGTATCCTTTAGAAAAATTCAGATACCAGATACCGAAACGGCCTTAAAACGTAAGAGACCGCTTTAAACGACCTTTTCCAACTGTTAATCCGAGACGAATTGAACGTTTTATATTTGCCTACACGATATTTTAATTAACGGCCATCCTTAGATAATTCCATTATCTAGTTGGCCCCTCTGATAAAATAATTAGTTGACCATAGCATTTTGTTTAAAATAGAATAATCTTCACCTCACACAGACAATTATCATATCTGAGTGAATAAAATTTCGGGTGATATCGAATAACCTTTGATTGCCCTAATCTAATTAGGAGATACAAATGTTCGTAAGAAAATAATTGTGTGGTCAAATTTAAATATTGCAATTTTTTGAAATTCTAAATAAAGTACAGTCAATGAGTAAAAAATAAAGGTTACTTGACGAAAATGTTTTGTTGAAAGACTAAGATCTAAGACATATAAAAGCATATTTTAATGATGTCATAGGCTGTAGTACCCATTACAATCTTCAAATGCCAAATTTGAAACAATTCCGGTGAACAATTTCCCTAAAATCATCAAAGTTATATGGGGGCTGTACGAAGACGTGGACCTGCACAGACAATTTTCTGTCATAGGCTGTAGTACCCATTACTAACTTCAAATACCAACTTACATTTCCGGTGAATAATATCGCTTAAATCACCAAAATACCGAAAAAGGAAGCTACCATTATATGGGGGCTATACCAAAACGTGGACCTACATGACCCATTTTCAATACCAAAAGTCCTGCAGACATGATACACATTTGGGTAAAATTTTATCAACCTACTTCATTTCGTTCGGAAGCTAGTTTGATTTCCTCAGATAGACTGACGGACGGAAAACGCTTAATCGACATAGAATTTTGTGCTGATCAAGAATATATATTCTTAGTGGGGTCTAAAATGTATATTTCGAGGTGTTACAAACGGAATGACAAACTTAATATACCCTCCGTACTATGGTGGAGGGTATAAAACAGAGAAAAACATTTTCTTAACTTGTGATTATTTTCTCTTTAAATGAATCATCAGTTCTCGGCAACTTATAGAAAACTTCTTTCCTTATTACTTTTTATAGAAAAAACTTCTTGACTAGAAACCTCATTCTTCGAAACCTGAAAATAAAATTCATTGGGAACTTCATCAGATCCGAAAAATGAAACATACTCCAGGATATTTTTTTCATTTTTTTTAATGAACCAGCGACTGTTTTAAATAATTGATTCTATGACGAATAATTTTTATCAAACGAACATATAAGACTTTTTATTTTGATAATCCAATAGCTTGCCATACTATTTCCCTAGATAATTTATATCTTTAAGTTATGGACACGCATTTCCATTTGAATTTGCCGATAGTATTTATCCATATTTTCATACGACACATTTTTCAATTGATAAGACTTTGACGATTAGACTTTGGAGCCATGATGAGGTAATTCGTCAGGTATTTACAGTTTAAAGCATCAGAGTGGAATATGTTTCCGCAATTATATTGCGCGGCCTAATTTTTTATACCCTCCAATAAGGAGAAAACATGAAAAGCGAAGGAAAGAAAAATGGGAAAAGTGTGGGGATGACGCATAACAGATCACATTGAAAGCCCAAATTACTACCAATTTTGATGTGTTGTAATTTGATTGGAGTAATTTGATTAAAAGTCGAAAAATTAAAATAAAATGTTCGACGTAACAAAATATTTTTTAAAGTCAGTAAATCTTGTATTGTTCCTTATATTTGGACATAATAACTTCAGTGAATTTTGTATTTTACTAACATCCGTCGTTACTGATGTAAGGCAAAATATCTTATTTTCTGCGGCAAGAAATTTTGAAAAAATTAATAACATTTTTTTAAAAATTTACCTCCAACCCTGCTGACCTAGAGTTATTGTTGATTATATCAAGTTTAACAAATAGGAATTTTATTCATACAGTACAACAAATTTAAAAAAAATACGTTAAAATCCAGGGAAATTGTTTTGAAACCATATATATGTATGCCACCAATATTTGTAGTATATATAATATCAAAGGTGCAAAAGGTAGACATTATTCCAAATTTTTTATACCCTCAGCCATATGGCTACAGAGGGTATATATCATTTGATACGGTGAAAACGTGCCTAGTCGAAATAACGGTTTTAGACCCTAGGTCTCTTTGGACCAAATCCGTTTCAGAACATTTGGAGTCGATCTAGCGATGTCCGTCCGCCCGTCCGTCTGTCTGTCTGTCTGGCTGGCTGGTGCGCACGATAACTTTCGAAGGGAGTATCTGATTTGGTCCAAACTTGGTACATCGTAATATTTTTGTCCAACTTAGATCGAGTTCGGAGATGGGCAATATCGGTCCACTCCTTCTGGTACCTCCCCCACAAAAGGGGGTACCTCCCCCCAAAATTTTATGTAAGAGCCCGATTGTCTTCAAATTTCACACATCCCAATATTTATATTAACCCGCGTTCTGGTGTTAAAATGGACAATATCGGTCCACTATTTCTGGTAACTTCCCGAGGTCAACATTTTCAAAAAAAAAAAAAAAAATATGTATATTTTTTTCTGCGCAGAAAGAGAGGCAGTAATCCGGGTTTGCTCCAACTTGGCAAATCCTAATTTTTTCGTCAGTTCTAGGTCTGGTACAAAAATGGATATTATTTATCCACTCCATCAAGTACCTCCCCCACAAAAGGTAAACATTTTGAATAATTATAATGTGATGTTAGAATCCGACTGTCTTAAAATTTCACACATTCCAATATTTCCACTAACAAAAGATCCGTTGTGAAGATGGGATATATCGGTCCACTCATTCTGGTACTTCCCCCCCACAAAGGCTCAAAATTTTGAAAATCCATGAAGCTCACAAAAAGCGAAGTTGACATCCGATTCTATTCATGACTTGGTACATCCCAAAATTTCCATTATAACAACACAGTCCAAACCTAGCACTTCGCAATATTTATATCATATTTATTTAAGTCCGACAAGAAATGGCTAATATTGGCCAATTCCTTCGGAACCAACTGCATAAAGGTTTAAACATTTTATCAATCAAACCAGAAGTCAAAATAATAATCGAACATTGGCTGAGGATATACATCTGTCGGCAAAACCGACCGAAACTTTTTAACTTGTTTTTTTTTTTTTTACCAGGAAGCCTTTAAGAAAATGTTTGCAGGAATTAATCATCGAATCAAAAACATTTTCTCAATATAATCCAGAATTTTAGTCTAGTAAGACATAAAAATCTCCAATTTTGCCAAGGAAACCATAAACATTAAGCAACTTTCTATATAAATCATAAGGCGAAATTCTTAAGTCTTTTTAAAAATCCACGTTTTTCGGCAAGGAAACTTTAAATATATTCTTCAATCCACCATTATCGTTGGGACTTCTTTCGATATATTTATTTAAAATCATGACTTTTGGTTAGAAGGACTTTGAAAATGTTATACATTAAAAAATGGTTAAGTTCAGAAAAATTAATAATTAAAAATTCTTTTTCATTTAAACAAAGTCTTAAAAATCCATGATTTTGGGCAGAAAATCCCATAATTTTTTTAAAGATGTATAATTTTCAACCGAAAGATAGTAAAAAAGTATCACTCGATTTTGCCAACAGATGTATACCCTCAGAAAATGTTCGATTGTTTTAATATATTTTGAGTTCTGTTATGTTTTTTCAAATTGTTAACCATTTATGGAGTAGGTTCCGACCGAAGTATTCCATTTTCATACTTCATTTAATACAGGAAAAATATAGGTATGGGCAAAATTACAAGAAATTCGAACATTAGTATTCAGTTTTATGCGAAATCATAAATGCCATATTTATCTCAGGTTTCCGTTGAGAGAAATATTTAGCAAGTTGTAAAGAATCGCTGACTTTTTTCGCAAGTTATGACCGATAAAGTATCATAAATTGTGACCCCTCACAACAGATCTTGTGTTAGCAAAAATGTTTGGATGTGTGAAATTAGAAGACAATCGGACTCTTATTTCACATTATATAAGAGTTATAATTATTCAAAATTTTGATCCTTTGTGGGGTAGGTACTTGGTACCCGACCTAACACTGATGCAAATATTAGGATTTGAAAAGTTGAAGCAAAGTCGGATTACCATTTCTCTTTCTGTGCAGTAAAATATTTTTTTAGAATATCAATCTTTTGTGGGAGAGTCACCAAAGGGAGTGGACCGATATATCCCATCTTCACACCACACCTTGGGCTAATAAAAATTTTTAGTTTTTAGTTTTAGTTATTAAAAATGTTTACCCTTTCTGTGGGAAATACAAGAAAGAATGGCCCGATCTCTACCATCTTTATAACAAATCTTGTATTGATGGAAATATTGAAATGTGTAAAGTCTGAATGGAATCGGATGTTAATTTCGTTTTTTATGAGCTTCATAAATATTCGAAATTTTGACCCTTTGTGGGGGAGGTACCAGAAGGAGTGGGTCGGTATATTCCATCTTCTCACCATATCTTGGGTTAATTAAATATTGTGATGTGTGTATTTTGAAGAGAACAGGATGCTTATTCGATTGCTTATTTCAACATAGTAACCCTTTGTGGGGGAGGTACCAGAAGGAGTGGACCGATATATTCCATATTTACACCAGACCTTGGATTAATAAAAATATTGTGATGTGTGTAATTTGGAGACAATCGGACTCTTACATCACATTTTATAAGAGTTATAATTATTAAAAATTTTCACCGTTTGTGAAGAGAGGTACCGGATTTTCGCACCTGACCTTGCACTGACACAAATATTTGGATTTGCAAAGTTGGAGCAAAATTGGGAGATTCTTCTCCTCTCTGGGCAGCCAAATATTTTCTTTAAAAAGTTCGACCTTTTGTGGTGGAGGTACCAACAGGCGTGGTCCAATTTTGCCCATATCCGAACTAGATCTAAGTTTGACCATAATATAACAATGTACCAAGTTTGGACCAAATCGGATACTCCTTTCAGAGTTATCGTGCGCACAAGACAGACAGACAGGTGGACGGACGTACATGTCTAGATCGACTCCAAATGTCCTGAAACAGATTTAGTCCAAACAGACCTTGGGTCTAAACCCGTTATTTCGAT